AATCAATACTTTTACTTTTAATACTTAAGTACAAAAAATATCAGATACTTTAAGACTTTTACTCAAGTAATATTCCTAAAGGAAACTTTAACTTTTACAAAAGTATTTTTTGGTAAGATACTTGTATTTATACTCAAGTATCACTTTGTGGTACTTTATACAACACTGCAACTTTCCGCTTCAGAGTTCAACAAGAGAGGAATTTTTTATGCGTGCCTATTGCACAGCTTAGCATTAAATTTGATTTTACTGGTTCTTAATAGCTTCTAACTGAAGTATTGAACCAGTTTGTGTAAACAATACCTGGACACTGCTGTTGCCAACAGTTGTGGCTCTTTTAATCCGCCTGAGTTGCCCTACTGCCTCTCCAAGTAACGTGGCGATCCCGCGCTCAATGTTAGGCTGGAAGGTCCTTTCACTCAGCTTCTGGTCCAGTACACCCAGGAGAACTATGAACACAAATAATAACACTGCTTTGTAGTAACTGTGACAATTTGCAGGACTATTTAAAAACAATAATAATAATAATCATTATACCTGTTCTAACCCAGGAGGAGCGAAGCAAATCACTGGTGTTTAGCTCTGGGTAATGAAACGCTAGAAGAAAAAGGACAAAACAGTTAGYTAAACATATAAATTACTGCTAGTGATCTAATTTGAGCTCAGATAGAGAGGTTCGTACTCACGCTCTGCAATCTGCAGCACAGGAAAACCAATGTAAAAGCTGAATTCCACCACTGTGAGTTTTATCAGAGCATTGCTGACCTTTGACCCCAGCAGATATCCCCTTAAACCACTGACAGCAAAGGTGATGTCCACTGGCTGCCTTACTAGCTGTCGCTCAGTTTTAGCAGCAGCCATAGTGATGTTTATAACCTGAAACAAAAAAAAACAAAACATAAAAATAGCTTCCATTAAAAAAATGGCTTTAGTTACAGGTAATAAGAAACAAAACTTGAAAGTTGTCCACAGTTCGTAGCAGTAGCCTACTTAGTTTTATAGGATTAAGCAGAACTATAAAAAAATCAACAAGCTCTTTGTTTATAGACAGTAAGCTTACTTAAAGAGCTGTTATTGCGCTCATTTATAGGTTTAAACTTAGGCGTCTTGCAGGAAGGTTTTATGTGCTTTATTGTAGGAAAATAATGCTGAATGAGACAACCCTGTGACACACAAAGAGTGTTTGGGCAAGGAGAAAGTAGATTTTGGCCTGCCGCTCTAAACAAAAAGGTAGCACCAATTGTACCCAACAAAGTATTAAAAAAAGACTGAGACTCAGTTTTTATTCACTTAAGGCACAATAACTGCTTTCATGAAGAACAGAAGCTATATTATTCTAGGATAATAATAATAAATAAAAAATACACTTTGTTACATCTTCCATTGAAGATAATCAGTACTGATGAAAACCAGCTATACCAGAGATTCTTAACCCATGGGCCGCGACGCCACCTTGAGGGTCTCAAAAGAACAACAGTTTTTAACTTTGGGCCGCAGAGGGCCGCGGGACCGCATTAGTTTTGAATAAGGTGCAATACACATTCTCACCACTAGTAGCGGTGGTGCGCCACTCAGATGTTTAACAACTTTTTCTAATACGTAGAAGAAGAACCTCGGAAAAATGCCGAAAAGTAGAAGCAAAAATGAAGGTAACCCATCAAAAAATGCCAACATTTGTCACTAATATGAAGTGCAGCCTCTGGTTCTACCATGCAATATTTTAAAAGTTCAAAACATTATCAAATACAGTTGCGGATACAACTATAT